ACAAGGTTGAGAAACACTGCCCTTGTATGTTCTAAGGATCCAGAGTGTATGATTAGTTCACAGTTCCTGGTCATCAGATTCAGAAAATCATGTTCATTGGACAAGCCATGGTTATTTTAAACATTGGGTCACTATGTCTTGTCAATATAGCCAATCGCATGCAACGTCCTGCTACGCATCCAATAACCCTCTGCAGCCCAGGACAAGTGGAAGAGTTCAGATCCCAGCCGCTCACACCCAGAGCACCAGCCTCAGTCAGCACGCCAGCATTCAGACAGGCCAGGAGTTGTGTCAACCACAGTGGGCTGGCCACAGCCTCCTCCCCCTTGCCTTAGCCCGAACCTTGGGAAAATGTGCCTAAGGGATCCTGGGTGGAGGAGTCTTACTAAAAGCACTAGTCCATGAAATGTCTCCAGAATGGAACAATTCATGGCGTTCTGACACCTACAGCGTACTTGGAGGCACCGTTGCCGAAACGAGGGGTTCTTCTGAATGCCTCACATCCATAAGCCAAGGGGCCATCTGCCGGGTTTCTGGCAGTGAAGTTACGAAGGCAGGCAGTGAGCAACCATGCGCTCCACAGCCTGTGCTGCTCTTGACATGAGTCAGGAAGGAGAAATTCTCTCTACCTTTTCAGATTCTCCATCTTGCTGCCATTTCCAATTTCAGTTGCCTGGTTGGGCCTGAATTTGCAAGTCAATGTGAAGCTCTATTTGGGAGAGCAATTCTGCTCTGCAGGCACGGACGTCTGGGGTCCCCAATGCATTTCATTTAGCTGCCCAAGCCGGTCCCCTCACCCGGACCCAGGCTCTGTGCTGAAGTGTGTCTTGCAGCCAAGGGCATTACGCCCTGCAACACAGCATAGCAGACACGGATGCATATTTACAGTGCCGAATACATAGGAACGTGAAAGAGAGAGACTAACACTGAAGCCTCTGTTTCTTGCATCGTGGCAGTCTCTTTCCTTCCTTTACGCATTCAGCAAACTTAACAGTAGCCTGATTAAAATTTGAATAGGACCATCAGCAAGTTCCTGCTCACAGTAGAGTTACAGATGGGGCTCCCCTTCATTCACCCAGATGAAGGAACTTAGCACCCCTGGACCAACCACGCTATATTGTATATGAAAAGGAAAATCCCTGGTAGTATAGATCCAGTCCCTGCAAATCTGCTCCCTGAAGTATCAGCGTGGCTGCCTTGTGGGAAAGCTGGCCAGCCTGTTGAAAAGTGAGGGTAGAACATGAAAAACCCTTCAGGGACAGACACGGAATAGGGACAGAGGTGGGAGGAAATCTTGGCTAATGAGCTACACTTGATTCACAGCAAATGGGTAGGGTGGAAGAGCTGCATTGGGACTTTTGAGAGGGGCCCCCGCCAGAAAGGGAAAACAGCAACAGCCATATTTGATTTTGTTGCATTGAAATCTAAATCAAGCATAAATGAGTCAGCTTCCTTAATACAGTTTTTTTTTAAAATCCTCACATATAAAATGCTTTTTCCTTCGAGTACATGAACAAATCACAATTCAAAACCACATCCCGCTGTCCTGATTTACACAGGGTAGACCCATTGCCCTCAGCCAGATTACACAATATCAGCATTTACTGCAAGCAGACAGTTTCATTCCTGAAATTTCCCAAGCATTTGTACAATGAAAGAAAAATGTAGACTGTAGTTTGGATGGAGAAATCGAGACAGACCTCTTCAAATCTCAAACGCCATCCAGCCAATGCAATTTTCACAAAATTAGCTTATGTAAGATAAATGCTGACCTAGAGACAAGAAACGCATATTAACTCCCTTGTAAAAAATCAGAAGGAAGCAACGACGCTTTTAAAGCTTCGGCTTTGGGCACCAAAATCTCTGGTTGTCTCTTTCTATATCTAATGATATTATCCCACCCATATTTTCATTTGAAGCATATGAGAATCTAGCAGCACGGCACGATGCAACCACGACAGGTTCTTGATGGCGTGGAAGCCTTTCCACAGTGAATTGTTCGTCAAGCAATTAGGACTTTTCTGAGTTCCTGACACACTGCAGAAAATGTTGGCGTATGATCTGAGATGCTCATGCCAGTCACAGGGGGCAGTGGCCAGGTCTGTTCCACCCCATAAAGGACCCATTTGAATGGAAAGCACAGCTTAGAACAGTGTTTTTCAAACTTGGCAACATTAAGATGTGTGGACTTCAACTCCCAGAATTCCCCAG